CACAACAGCGCCATTGCATGTCGACACGTGTCACCCCATCTCGCCACACTAAACATGCAGCAAGCTAAACAAATGAACGCACGAGGTGATTTCCATTTGCCTCGCTCCAAGGCGAGCTTAGTCATGCCTAACACTGATTTTCATAAGGAATATGATCTCAATAGGTAAATATATCAACAGTAAGAATCATCATTAACATTTTTTTTTTGTTCATTAAATGGAAGGTCAAAGCCAGATTACATCAAAATGTACTCAAATAATTGAGTTCAGACAAAATGCAATACAAAAAGACATAGAGCCCACTACAAATAAAACTAACAAATGCATAAAGCACACATAAAGACAATAAACCCACATAAAGGTAAAGAGCCCACATTATGGCAAAAAGCCCACAAAAGGCAAAAGCCCACAAAACACAACACAATATTAGGAAACCCTAACACAATAACAGGTATGTGCCGCACAATCCAACAGCCACAAGCCGCGACACCAAAGCAAGCCGACAACCACTAAAAAGAAACCAATAACCAACATAAAATGGTGGTGAGCAAGCCAACCAAGCTACACCTAGTAGGAGTAGCGCTACCATAATCCAAGCAATAAGTGCTATTTGCACTTTAAGGGCATCCCAAACTCCATAAGTTCCACTGAGGATAAACAATGGAAGAAACATCCGTGGTGTCAAAAAGCCGATGATAGTGGTTAAGACCAAACGATGTGACGCAACCTTCAACATTGAGGAGAGAAAACGCATTGCAGAAACCTGTAAAGAGCATAGAAAGCTCGAAGACTCCAGGAAATGCACAGATCCAACAAAACCACCCAGAACGACAAAAACCAATGGGCAATCCCTGGAGATGAAAAGACCTCTCAGCATCAGCCACCACTACAGGACCACAAGGCAATTGATAGATTGGGCAGACAACTAAATCCACTAAGACCAACCCCAGATCCCAGCACAGGCTGGGAGGGGGAGGGAATTGGGTCAAAATAGGGGATTCAAATCCCAGATCTGCAAAAGAAACAAAACCAAATACAAAGGGCCAAAACCCAATTAAACCACCAAAACCCAACCACAAAACGCCCATCCAAATCAAAAGAAAAGGAAAAGAGAAATAGGAACAGGACAAAAAAGCAGAGGGGGGAGGAGTGGACTGGAAACTAGGAAGGATAATAAAATTTTAAATAAAATTCTGCTAGCTAATGTGCCACAACATCTTTTGATTTAGGGGCGTAAGTAGTAATGGAAATTCCGATTCCGATTGATTTTAATTAGAAAATTTCCGATTTTGGTAAGTCCAAATTAATTTCAACATCCAAAAGTTTCAAATCCGAAAATTGTGAAAAAAAAAAAAAATTGGATCAGAATTGGAATGTATTTCAAGATTCCGAAAAATTCTGAATTTCGAAATGTATTGAGGATTCAAGCTTAGACTACACATAATGACTAGTTTCATGTTGAATTTGATATGACATAATAACTAAATAGACATAGACGAGCTATTTCATAAAGGATAACAACACATATGTGATAGCACATAATAGTTTTTCGAGCTTCTTCGTATGATTTTTCAATTTTGAGCCAATTTTAACCTTTCAAATTGTTAGGCATGTTTAAAATTGTCAATAATTTTCCTCAAATTCCCAAAAAAAAATTCGAAACATGTACCGAAATTTTCCTATAATTCAGAGTTTATTTTATTTTATTTTATAATTAGAATGGATGTTGAAATTTCAAAATTTTTTGGAACGGAATTGGAAAAGAATTGTCATTCCAAATTTTTTTGGAATGAAATTGGAATCCCCTAATTCCGATTCGATCATCCCAAAAATCAGCCCTAATTGGATTAATAAGGATCCATATTTTAGAAAAACACAGGGTTTGGGTCACTCTCTCGTTCACGCGAGGAGAGCCTTAACGGCTAAGGTTAGGGTTTCTTCAGTTTTCTTTACTCATTCTCTACGCTGTCTCTCTCAATCTTCTTTGATTGTCTCTTTGGGTTCTTCTTGATGAATTGGGTATAACATTTTTTTTTTTTTTTGGCTCTTTTATTCTTCGTGGGGTAGCTATGTTGGCTTCCTTTCTGGGTTCCCAAGGAGCCAGTTGATGGTGAGGGTCTCCATCTTAATGCTATGGAGATGGCCACCGCCTCTTCTGCTTAAGGGGATGACATGTATGTGGCACCAAGCGGGAATCAAAAGCGTGCGGAAAATGGTGTTGAGCATCTGATTGTTAGTGGCATGGATTTTTCTGGTAAGCATAGTTTTTGTATTGAGGATTTTGTTGACAAGGCGGAGGAGACTAGCCTCGAGGGGTTTCCAAGATCTCCTTAATAATTCTCCTATGGAATGTTCGTGGGCTTGGCAACCGATGAACGTTCCTACTATGAAGATATTTTTTCAGAATTTTCTTCAAGTTAAGAGGCCAATCTTGGTCTCCCTTGCTTGTCAGCTGGGGTTCTGGATCAAGAAAATTGGAGGTGGCGATTGGTGTTTGGCTGGATCTATTATGATGCTCACAATACGTTTTTGACTCTGTACGAAGAATTATGATGCTTTCTTTAGATCAGAGGAGGCTTTCTTTGACAGTATCTGCGTAGTGATAGGATGTGTTACAATGGTTTTGTGGTTGGGTGATTGCCTAGATCTATTCTGATACCCATAGTACGTTTTTTTTACTATGTATGAATAACTATGATGCTTTTTCTAGATCATAGGAGGACTTCTTTGACAGTATCTACGTAGTGATGAGATGTTGTTTTAAGGGTTTTGTGGTTGGGGTTTAGGTTGGTTTGTTTCGTATAAGTTATTTGACTCTTATGTTTAGTCAATAGCATGGGTGGTACTCTTTTCTACTCTGGGATTTTGTTTCTCTGGGAAACGAGGCCGCTGTTAACATGCTAGTTTTTACCATGTAATGTTCCTTTCGGTTTAATGAAATACCATCTTTTCTCAAAAAGGATCCAGATTTTAGAAATGTACCACCTCTTCTATATTAGTTAAATATAGCTAAAGAAAAATATTAAAAAAAATTTGGTGCCTAAAATTGTTGATGTTAAATTATAGATTGGGAATTTGGAGTAAACCACATTATACTAAAATGTAATTCACACACACAATATATATATATATATATATATTGTTAGTGAAGCAATCACAGCCAATCAACTCTCCTTGAATGTCTCTAGAAAATCTCCATCTTCATTGCCTTAGCTGTGATTGATTGTAATTCCTAATTAGTTGTAATTTGATTGTAATGCCTAATTAGTTATAATTGATTGTAATCTCCGATTCTCACCTTTTGTAACCCACACAGATTGTATATAATCTGCATCAATGATATTGAAATATTCATTGGGAAGATTTTCCTTATATATATATATATATATATATTGTTGCTATTGCTTTAAGCAACAAACACAATTCAATTAATACTCCTTCACTCTACTCAAGACTATAGATTTAAAAAAAACGAACAAACCAAGCTTAGACGGACCCGGGATTTCAACATAGGGTGGGCTAAATTTACCTAATGCACAAACCTACTAAAAAGATAGAAAACAATCCCCGCGTTGGATTGTTTTCCCCTGGAACATAGCTATGGATGTGGTTACATTTATTTGTATAAAAAGGGTTGTTTTGAGATCAAACAGGTTTTTAAATCAAGCACAGGTTAAAAGGTTTTACATACACGGTTTTTGAGCTAATGTTTTCGAAAAGGCAGGGTTAGTATGTTTGTTTTACTTATGTTTAAACTTACTTTTCGTCCACTCACATCTTTTATGGTTTTGCGCCCTCCCCAAGCCGTGACTTGAGGAGCTTAACAACCAAGATCAGAAACTCCTTCTCCGCACGACCGCCATTGTAGGATTTTCTTTTCGTGACTTTTCTACTGTTTTCGACTTGTAAACTAACGAAATTCTTAGTATGCTCTGAATACGCCCATGTAGGGTTGGATTTGCGGCCTAAGGACATTTGTAAACTGTGTGTGTTTTAAATTGTGTGCTGGCAGTACTTTATCTGTGCTTTTACTGCATGTGTAAATTTTTGGAAATGATCGTTTTACAGGAGAGAATCTGCCTAGATTTCAGTAGAAGTCTTGATCCTTTTATGCTTCTGTAGTGGGAAAAAGGGTTATTTTTAGTAGTTGGGCCCGGCATCCTATGGGTGTCGAAAGGGAAGCAGGATTTGACACAAATTTCAAGAAGAATACGGGTTTGGTCCTGTCAGTCTGAGCAGAGCAATCCTACAACTTCGAAAGCTTTGTGGGATGAGTTCTTTGGTAGAATTGACACGAATTACGCGCTTTATGGGATGAGTTCAAAAGTTGTTAATAATCCCAAGTTGACTCAGGATAAAGTTCATGCGTTGCTCACCCGCTTAAGTTTTAAAGCTGTTAATGGACCGTTGTAATCTAATGGCAAGATAAAAATATCACCAAATGGGAAAAATGTTTTTGGTGCCGTGGAATGTACTAAGGACCTTTATGAAGTAAATTGTAAGGAGTGTCTTGATGTTGCAATAACCGAACTTCAAGATCGTAGTTATGGAATGAGATGTGGACATATTATTTTTGGTAGTTGCCACGTAAGATTTGATTTTCATCAATTTTACTATTAATGCGTTTGTTTTGTAGGATGAACTCATATAGGGGTTGTTTTGAGCTCAGGCACCATTGAGACAACATGGTTCCTTTCGGTTGAAGATGGCCCACACTCTCCAAGTTAAAATATTTGGATTTATCCTCCAACTCACTGGTTTTAAACTTCCATTCTGATTGGGTCCCTCCTTTTCAATTGAGTGTCTTAATATTGAGGTCTTGCAAGATGGGTCCATATTTCCCACAGTGGCTTCAAACTCAGAAAAATTATTCATCCCTTGATATCTCTAACACTACAATTTCTGACATCATTCCAAGTTGGTTTTAGGGTTTGTCACATACAGCTGTCCTTATAAATCTCTCCCACAACCAAATTAGAGGAACATTTCCAAGTTCAACAATGGAGTTTGCTTATTACCCTAAGCTAAATTTTAGTTGGAACCAACTGGAAGGTCCAATTCCTTCATTTCTGTCAAAATCATCATCTCTAGATCTATCCTACAATAAACTTTCCGGGTTCATTTCTTTCTTGTGTGGAATCAAGGCCAGTAATTTAACCCTTCTTGATCTCACAAGCAACCATGTATCTGGAGAACTTCCAGATTGTTGGACGCATTTAGAAAATCTAGTCTTTCTTGGCTTGTGTGGCAATGGTTTTTTTGGCACAATTCCTACCACCTTGGGGAATTTATATTCTCTTGAAACCTTGAAATTCAAACACAACAGATTTGTGGGAGAGTTGCCTTCATCCTTGATGAACTGTAAACACTTGAAAGTTATTGATGCTGCAGAAAATCAACTGTCAGGATTGATACCTGGATGGTTAGGGTTTGAACTTCCGAAGTTGGTTATCCTTATCCTCCGTTCTAATCGCTTTTATGGAAGAATTCCTTTACAGTTATGCAATCTAACACACGTCCAAATATTGGATTTGTCAATTAACAACATCTTTGGAACTATACCCAAGTGTCTCAGCAATTTGACGGCTTTAGTTGATAAAGGACATTCAATTCTGACCATCACTCATCATTATCCATGTGATTTTGGAAATGGGATTTTTTCAGAGAGCTATGATGATGCAGCAACCTTAATATGGAAAGGAATAATGTCTGAATACAAGAGCACTCTGGGACTTGTGAAGAGCTTTCATTTGTCAAGCAATCAATTGATGGGGGAGATTCCTAAAGAAATCATTCATCTTGGTGGTTTGGTTTCTTTAAACCTGTCGCGAAACCATCTAACAGGTCAAATAAATCCAGACATTGGGAAGTTGGAGTTATTACAGTCTCTTGATTTATCAAGAAACCAGATCGATGGAAGAATTCCGACAAGTCTTTTTCAGATATATGGTCTTGGTGACTTGGACTTGTCAAACAACAACCTGTCTGGAAATATTCCAATGGGGTCTCAGCTCCAAAACTTTGATCCGTCAGCCTTTGCCGAAAACCCTCTGCTTTGTGGACTTCCACTTCAAAGGATGTGTGATCAAGAGAAAGAGAAAGGTAGTGTTCAACAAACTGGCTTAGGGAATCAAGACCATGAAGGTGGGCTTGTAACGCGTGGATTTTACATCAGTATGGGGCTAGGATTTGCTTTTGGATTTTGGGGAGTTTCTGGCACATTGATGTTCCACGAGTCAGGCAGATCCACATAGTTCAAGTTCTTCATACTTATTAGGCAAAGGGTAATTAGTATGATATGTATTCAAAGATTGAATATAACGTTTGAAGTTAGCATGATATGTATTCCATTTTCTAGTTGTACAAAAGAAATTAGCATCATACTCCTGAATTAACATATGCCTCGATCATCATATATATATATATATATATTGTCGCTAAGATTAATTTGGTTTTTGTAATTTATCATCAACAATTGTTTAAAATATTCCACCTTCATGTGGGGTATAGTTCAGTTGGTTGAGCTCTTTCACCTCCACCCCTCCAAACACTCAATGAATATTTTGTAAATCCCCTCATCCATTCGCTTGTACTTAAAATTTTATTTTAAAAAAAAAAAAGTTTGCACAAATACTGCCTGGATTGTATGCAATGCCAACTTTCGTTTGATATATGTTAAAGAATATAAAGAATGGTTTATGAAGAGAAACCGGCCAGCTTTATCACTGAAAGTATTAATTTTCAACTATCATTTATAATTGAGAATTTTGTGATTAGAATATAATGTGGTGGGCGGTATGATTTAGCACAGGGACTTTTGTCGTTTCCTATTGAAAGACGAAACTGCCGAGAAATGAAAATCAAAACACCAAAACAGAAGAAACAGAAGAAGGAAAAACGACTTTGTCCCAAAAAAAAAAAAACAAAGGAAAGAGAAAACGACAACAAACAAAAACAATAAGAAAAACTACCTCGTTGGGCCTTTCCTTATGAGCCGTTGGGATGCACGTTTGGGCCTATCTCTGGTCTAACTTCTCCTTAAGTCAGAAGAATTGACTTCCTCTCAGGTGAAACGGTGTCATCCTAACCTATTCAATGTATGATGAGGTGCAGATCTCATTCCCACGTTGTGCAGGGGTAATTTCGTCTGACCACTTCGAGTCTTGTACGCATGTAATTATGTCATTGGCTTGAGAAATCTTACTCCCACAACTACCATATTCTACAAATAACACATATGGTGGTACTAGCTTGAGTGTGTTGGTCAATTTGTGTTCCACACTGATTTCTTGTCGCCTCACAAAATTCATAAACATGTACCTTGCATTTGACACGAAGTGACTAATTAGCTTTACGAGCATATAGAATTTGTTAGGAACTGAGCTCTGAATTGAGAGAAATCGCAATTCCATCACAATCAAATGTGTTGTTGGATAAACTCCAATTAATGATTGTTATAAAGGAGTTGCTCACTATCTCTTTCTTTTAAGTACTTAGCTGAGTGGGACGACTTATAAGTGATTGTGGAAAACCCTTGGAGAGGATGGAAGCTTTGCATTAGTGCTTCAAAGATTATAGGCCTTTTGATTTATAGCAAATCGGTTTTAAGTTAGGTGTTCCTGTTCTAATATGGTATCCATGTGAAATATAATATGCATGTTAGTATTCAACAACATGCTTTCGTTAGTTATCTAACGGATCAAATACCTAGACGAACACACATTTTCATGTTCTTCTATGCTTAATGGGTTCCTAATGCTTAATTTTAGGTTAGACAACAAATGATCAAATTAGGGAATTAGGAACACAAGGTTATGACCACACACCATGGCTTAATCATACTTTAGCTAGAATCAATCCATTAATCTAAATTGAACTTGGGAACTTATCTGCTTGAGTTAGTTATTTTCTTTCTTTCTTGTTGTATTTATTTCCTTTTTTTTTTCATTTCTATTTTGTGTAGGGAAATGAATTGGATCATTCAATCACCAATCCTCGTGGGATCGACCTCGCACTTACATATGCTAAACTACCAACGGCTCGTGCACTTGCGAGTATCACAAGTTGAGGATGCAACTGAATCCATTTTGGTGCAACTGAATCCATTCATGAACTGGAACGTGGCGTTTTGTCTTCCCAGAGACAAAGGAAAAGCTGCAAAGGCATAATCATCTCGGCCTCGACCGCGGCATTATGGGCCGAGGCCGAAGGACGAAGGAGACACGGCCAAAGATATTGGAGTCAAATCACCACGTGGCAGCAGGGCCCCACGCTTCATTTAATGAAGTAACGCCTTTGACTAGCAAACCCACTAGCCGCAAGAAGGCATTTAATGCATGAGGGAAGAAGGGAAGTGACTAAAAGTCAGGATTTGGTGATAGAAATCAGAGTGGTTAGGCGCAAACATTCTCGCAAATATTCTTACAACTTGAGGTCAGTTCAAACAACCACCAGACCAGGCCATTAAATGCGTCCCTACGGCCAGAGGCGCAAAACCCACGATCAGGGCGGCGGCCGAGATTTACCGGGATTTATGGGGTCACACCACCATGCTTCACGATCCCAAATGTCGATTGGACTACCCACTTGCTCTGATCAGGCTCTACCATGCAGATTTTCAGCCTCGATTACTCCTCCAGAGCTCTCCCTATAAATACCAAGCTCAAGCTACATTCAAATGGTTCAAACACCAAACCAAAAGCCTCCCACGAAGCAAATTATATTTTCCTGTAATGCACTTTTAATACCTTTACTTGCTTTCCTAGGAGTAGTGATAAATTGTAAAGAAAATCCATTCATCAATATATCATACGACCCTTGATTTTTCAAGACGCTGGAGCACCATCTCTGTTACGCTCTCATTCACCCCATATATCATACGACCGTCGCTCTCTGAGCAACGCGCTGGAGCACCGCCCAAAACCCAATCAACACCACCACTAAACGGCCTTGTAGCTCAGGCCGTGAACCTGACGGCCGAGATTAGTTCCTCTCTCGGCCACAAGTGAATCATTCCAGACTTGAGTTCAAATGAATTTGCTTCAACTGCTGGTACTACAATACACGATGGAGTGTTGGAAAGAGTTGGAATGGAGTACTGCTTCATAGCTCGAATAGGTTGTACTCCTTCATGATGGAGTACTCCTCTTTCACTAATTGTTGTTCCCCAACGTTCTTGTCACTCTTCTCGTTTATATTTTCGACAGAACTTCCGTCTGAAATCTCAGGATCCAGTGAGTGAGTGAATTTGTCTTTTGATTTCCTAACTGTTCTCTCAATCTCAGGATCAAACGGTATGAGGTCTTGACCTTGAGAGCGTCTTCCAGTCATACACTCAGTCAAACCTAATAAACAAGACAAACAAGAAACACAAGTCAATTCCAATAATCTGAAATTTTCCAATAAAAAAAACAAAATTAATAAATTTAAAAAAAACAAAAAAAAAAAAAACGAAAAGTATCTATTAATATAAATAATAAAATAAAAAAGATGAAATAAAATAAAATAAAATAAAAACTGAAAAGCAAAATTAAGATTGAACAAAATTGTAGTTGACGAAGCCAATCCCAGGCAACGGCGCCAAAAACTTGTTGTGAATTTTAGACAACCTGAAAAAATTGAGATTATAAAGATTAGTCTAAACACAAATTATACTCGCAAGTGCACAAGGTCAATCGTAATATAGTATGGCAAATACGAGGTCATT